TGCTTGGAACTGCCTCTCCACAGCCTTGTTGGGATGCCTGGGAATAGCAAGCTCTTCATACACCTGTCGGAGAGAAGAAGCTAAAGGTGCAACGCTTCCCTGAACCACCTCTGCCATGGTCCTGTTCACACGCTCCAGAAGGTCGAAATTGTCTAAGTAGACCCTGTGTACGGGGTTGCTGATTGGGAGGGGTCGGTCCTTCCTCAACTCCGACTCCCACCCTCCCCTCAATCCAAGCAAGCGAGCTTCATCCAGCGCTTTTCCAACCACATAGCGGTGTATGTGCGTGCTGTGCTAGGGACACACTGTTGCAAAAACCCATAGGCAATACAAGTGAAGTCAAATAGTGCGGTTCCGACGAATCACCACAAAGGTTCGGGGGGACGGGTCTAGAAAACGCCAAGTACGGTCTCCACCCCACAGGCACCCGGAACAGGTAAAAGAAACAACGCACATCTTCGCTGCTTACCAGTAGCGCCTCGTCCGGGTGGATCTGGAAGGCGTTCATGTTCGGCCAGCTTGGAAGAGTGGAGACGTCACCTGTGATCGGACGACACAGCTTGTTCAATGGCACCAGATTCATAATTAGCCGGTGAACCTCATGTCCTTGATGGGTCTCCTCCTTCAAAACTCCAAATAGTCCGTTGAGTAATGGTTTGCCCTGCGCATGGAAAACCTTGCTTTCGGGAATAAGTCCAACCACCCCCTTGGACAGGAGTCCTTGACAGAATGACTCCCATTGGTCCAATTCCACCATGACCTTTGGAGGCTTGGTGTAGGTCTGAGCTTCACGGGGCACCAGATATTCCTCGAAGTGATGGATATAGTGAAGACATCCACCTCCTACGACATCTTCCAATTCCACTGTGCCTACTTCATCCGGGAGGGCAGGAGAGATGTTCTCCCATGACGTCTGTTGAGCTGTCCTGACCTCGTCTCCCTTGTAATCAATGGTACGCACCTTTAGGAACTCCCTCCAGCTAAGATCCCCAAACTTGGGCAACTTCTCAAGGAACCTAACCACCTCCTCACTCAGTAAAAGAAGTATACGTACATGCAAAGGTGAAACTGTTTCACATGGTTGCGGCTTGGTGTCATACACGTCATTCAGTCCCAACACCACTCCACGAAGAACACTTCGAACACCCTCCGATAAGTGGGAAAGGAAAGGCTGGTTCAAGGCGGTGTCGACAGGTAGAGGGAACACCTCACCCGGGGTCGTGGTCTTGCGAAGAAAACTCGACAGCTCCCCCACCAGCCCCCCGACGACGTCTTCGAATCCCAAGCCGCTCAAACTCTTCTTTTCTGGCTCAACGAGCTCGGTATGTGAAATGCGCTCGGGGTCGGCACTCCCCTTGCGCTCTGTACCGACCAAAATGGTCGCTTCCGAGTGACCATACGGCATCTCACCCGGGTTTGCATCCGGCATCTCTGTGGCATCGTGCTGCAACCCATCATGAACCTCGTGTGCAATGCGCTTCAACTCAGCCTCAATGTCCTGCCCAGTGAATCCTTCGAGAGGAGATCTCACTTCTCTTTCTCCCTTTCTCGATCCTTTTTGTCTTTGCCCCCCTTGTCCTTCTTGCCTTTGCCTTTGGTTTCCTCCGCCTTTGTCTTGCTGCCGCTCTTGCTGTCGCCTTTTGCACTTGGCCAAATACGTTGGCTTGCTTGCTTGTTCTTCAGCTCCTCCCTCAACTCCCTGTTTGCAGATCGACTCTCCTCGAGGTCCACAAGCTGAGAAGATTCCGCTGGTGTCAGCTCGAGCTTCTGGGCGGCTGCCCATGTAGTGCCTCCTCCCAATGCCTCTACTGACTTCAGACGCTGCAGGAGAATATCCACTCCCAGAGCAGCTTGGCCGTCCAAGATGGCGTCCGCCGCCGCACAGAGATTCAAACTCTCCCTGGCCAGCGGAGGAGAGAGCCGACTGGCAAGCACCTGTCTGTGGTACTGTAGGCAGATTGCAGGTAGAGCTCCATCTCGTGGTGCAACCGGCAACCCTTGCGCCGTCAGCAAGTATTTCGACATGTTCTGGATCGTCTGACACGAAAGGGCCCCTGGCCCCTTCACCGCGGCCCTCCGGATTCGGTGAGAATCCTCGAACAACTCCTCGCCTGCGCTTGCTGATCTGCTCTCTCCGCTGCTGCTCCCTGAGGAAGCTTCCGAATCCTCCTTCTTCTTCTGCATACCTCGGCGGGCCTTCTTCATGGCTGCTCTCCTGATGCTGGCGTCTGGGTCCAGTCCCGTGTATTGAAACAACTGCTTCAACTCCTTCTTGCCCTCGACCTTCCATGCCTTGCCTTTCTTCTTCTTTTTCTTCCCCTTTTTCTTCTTTCTCTTCCTTTTCTTCTTCTCCTTGCTGGAGTCCGAGGTGCCTGAACTCTCGCTTGTATCTGCTCCCTTTGCGGCCTCCCCCGCAGGAGCTCCCACTCCTTTTCCTTTGGCTTCTCGTGCTCGTCGGTCGGACTCGGCTGCTAACTTCCTCAACACCTCTGCTTCTGCTGCCTCCTTGTGGTTCTATGCAGGCGTGTCGAACTCCAACAGCCGAAGACGCTTCACGTGGATCAGGTCCTCGCTTTGTGGGCTGTTGCTGCAACCGGCGGGGCAGAGGTGACCTCGAAGGACCCGATCTTCCTCTGCGGTGAGCCACTTCAGAAGTTGTTCGTCTGAGGTGCCACTGACGCGGAAGCTGACCTCCATCTGCCCTGCCTTGATGGCCACGCCCACGAGCTCTGCTGCTGCTTCGACGGGCTTGTCCCAGTAGAGCGCTTCGATCTGGAACTTCTTCCCTGGAAGGAGGTCTGTAACTGCCATACCTCCTGATTCCACCCATGCTCCCGTCGCAAGTTCCTCTCTTGCAGGAGCGGGTGGGACGACAGCAGCTGGTCTCACTCTAACTCTCCTCCTGTCTTCTCTAGCCTCACCAGCGGCAGCTGGCCTTCTCTTTGGGGCCATGCACCCCTATTCACCGGTACTTTTTGTAGGCGAGGTACTCCTTGAACTCCAATTGCCTTCCAACCTTCTTCACCCCTTTGTTTGTCCACTCTTGTCGAGGAGGATAACCGTGCCACCCGCGACCTCGACCTTTTCCTTTTGCAGGAGGTGGATAGTTGGGACTCCTTGGTCTCCTTGGCAAAGACGTGCTAGGCCTTCGTGTGGGCCTTGGATGCGCCTCAGGGTGTGCAGAGGAGGAGTGGCCTTCGCGTGCTCGATCAACCTCCTCTTGATAGGGATCCGGGCTTCTCTCAACTCGGCCTCTGTCGCTGTCTTCCTTTCGTCTCCTCCTCCTGGATCGAGATCTCGTTCTCCTTGACCTTTTCTTATCTCTGACTGAAGGCGAGCGAGGAGAGATTGGTCTCTTCCTCTCCCTTTCGCTCCCCACCACCTCCTCGGTCTCGGGCTCGGTTGCAACCTCCTCTTCACTGATCTCCTGGGCTGAAGCACCTCCAACTTTCTCTACCCGCTTTCCTAGAGGAGCAGGCCTTGCAAAGCTTTTGGAGGCTGTTGTACGTAGGTTCTTTTCCTCAGAGTTGAATGCGCTGTCCTCACTGGGTTCTTCTTTGACGTCGACTGTCTCTTTCACTGCCTTTTCACGATGAGCTCCACTGTCACGTTCACGACGGGTCCCTTTGTTCTCCTTGGTCTCCACTCCTTTGCCTCTTGCGATGCCTCCAGATGCCTGCTCTCTCTTCTCTGTTGTCGGATCGGCCTGATCCTTCTGCTCTTCTCTTCCTCCCTCAGGCCCCGCCTGAGGAGGTGCCACCGCACCGGGTTGTGCCGCACCCGACGCGTAGTAGCTGTCGCCCCAATCACACAGCTCACCAGCGAGAACTCGAAGCCGGTCAGCTGCAAATGGGATATACCCCGGCTTCGGCGAGAAGTCTGAGATGTGGTGACAGACTCGCCGAAGTGTGGAACACACACCACACCGACAATGTGGTGGGTGCCCCCACATAAGTTGAGCCGGAGCTGCGGAGCGACATCGAATTAAGGGGGTTCACCTTTATTTACGGGGACGCTACAGCATATGTACTGTATATGAGACCTTTCTCGTGCTTTCTCCATCACAAGTGACCACAAAGCAGTGAAGTGATGTTTCCCTTCGTGGATCGCACGCCGCTCTGAGGGCACTCATGACTCAAGAGTTTCAGCTGGCTGGAGGTGACGTTTGAATCCGTAGCGCTGGTGCTCATCATGGAATAGAGCGATCTCTCTGACACAGAGTGTGCCCTATTCGTGCCCATGAAGTGAGGGTCAGAGGTGCCATCATCCTGTCAAGTGGGGAAGGGGCCTCACGGTCCATGGTTGCCTACTGTATCCTTTTCAGCGTCAATGCAAAATGCCCAGGGCGCCAGCAGTCGCCAGTGCCACCATCGCAGGCAACGCAGGTCAAGAGTACCGTTTTCTTCAGCGCCACATGCCATCTGACTGACCAGTGCAACAAAATGCAACAAACTTGCCAGCGTGCTGTCATGCTGACGCGACGGTGTCATGCCCCATGTTGTCAGGCCGTCAGTGTTGACATGCTGTCATGCTGGCACACAAACACGGGTCACGCTAACAGGCCGACGCATAGCAAACTGTCGTGTTGACGACGTTGTCAGGCTTGCCCGTATTTGAGCAATTTCCGTGTTGTCTTGCATGCATGGTATATTGAAAAGGCTCATGCTTCAAAACAGCATTGCCCGGCAAAGACATAACACTTGTGGTTGAACTTGCGTTGTTGCCATTGCCCATAGGCGGATTCATGCCCACCTGGGAAAAATGAATGCATGCAGGTGAGCATCATAACTCAGAATAACTGTTGTCATCTTCTGAGTTTTATCGACCCAGGTCTGCGGCGAACTGCCGCTACCAGCCGGCAAGGACCAATGGAAGCACCCCACATGTTCACCCACATCAGAAGTGCTTTGCTTGGAGCCACTCCAATCATCACGACAATCACGCTGCCCAGGCTTTTCGAAAAAGCGATTCACCCAAAAGCCGGTCACTGAGAGCCCCGCTAAGATCGTACATGGAGTCATTCTGCAAGACCTCCAGTAGCGTGAGCCGAGCTACGACCCTTCCGTACTACGCAGCCGAGGCATGCTCAGGTCTTGAGGACAGAGACAATAAAACTCGCATCTCGCGGTACCTTTTTTGGCTTGGGACACTTAGTTTCAACCATTGCAAAACACCATTGCAGCGAAAAACACACAATATTATCAGATCTTATCAGCAAACAAAATCAAATAAACCAAACTGTTTGCGAGAAACACATAGGATACTCTACAAGTTCCGAAAAGGCTTTGTTCCCTTTCGGCCACCTATCAGATCTGCACGAATGCGTGCCTCGCAAATGCGATGCTCCTGGAAGCCTAGCTGCGTGGTGACGCTACTCTCCTTGATCTCCACGCCCTGCCCACAAAGATGCCCACACCCTTGGGCAGATGTGTTCCACGTCAAGGGCTCAGGCTCACGATCATTTCAAAGATGTGTCTCAAAAACAAGGACACAATGACAAACAAAAGACCTGTCCGCATAACAAATGAGGGGTGGAACAGAGATTTCACCCTGTGCAATTTCTAGGTGGTCTACCTATTTATGAGGTTGTTAGTCAGGGCCCCGAGCCACTTATCCGATTTATCATTGCTTGCTTGGATGTAGGATGAAGGTTTCATGACTGTGCGCGTTTCATATTTAATTGGAAAGGATAGCATGTTCTGTGTTCCTGAAACATCGGTCCTGAAGTCATGGAGACAATCTTCTGGGAGTTCGTCAATCGCTTGCCAAAGAGAAGGAACAGGCACTCTAGCGGAATCCTTAGAGCCTACAGGATTCACATGATTCCATATCTCACGCTTAATCGAACCCCTGACATCATCCTGTCCCGCGCCTGTCCCAGGAGGTTCATGTAGCAGTTTGGCATCGCACTTGCCTGGCGGAGTCGGGGTTCCGAAGGCCATAGCGAGGGCGATGCAGTCCAAGGCCACATCGGCCCATGACTCCAAATCACCTCATTTGAGAGAGTGTGTGCAATCCGGGTCGCGGTTCACACCGGCCACTCAGCCATTCAAGATCCTGAGGTGCGCAACCTGAGTGCGTGAGTGGCTGAGTGGCCTCTGCAACTGCAAAAACACAAGTATGTCCTAGCGATCCTAGCATTGGAAGTGTTTGAACGCCACGGGCCGCCACGGGGACCTATTCCACAATTCCTTGACCCTGGCAAAGGGCAGACCCGACACTTGCAGCCGTACATCGCAGCTAGCAACTGCTTCATCTAGCCTTGGAAGGCAAGGTCCGCTCTGGCGCAACTGATGGCTCAGCGCCTCCAAAGCTGCCATACATCAGCGTTGGCAAGAGCAGCCTCATATTGGCCGCTTCTATTCGCAGCGTGGGATGCTTTTATTCGCAGAACGAGGCCGAACGAAGGTCTGAGGTGACCCCGTGGACTGAAGCGGTTGTTGGATAACCTGCTCCGTTGAGAACTCATGGCCCCATGGCCGAGCAGCACCTTAGTGAGCATCCTCGCCTCATCCCCTTGCCCCTGCGAAGAAAGGATGGGAAGTGGAACTACGAGATCATTCCCGAAGTTTTTGGTGATTTTGGGTGTGTGCAGCAAGCTCAGGAACTACGCCAGCAGCAACATGCCTTTGATGTTTTTTGCACCTGTTAGCCAATTTGCAAATTGATCGACAAACCCAGTTGGAACTTCAAGAGGGGTCAGGTCAGGAACCATCACACCCCAATGCCATGCATCGCCTCCTCACACAGACTGTGGCAAATCCACGCTTACCAGCGCCGGAGACGAGTGAAGATTGGGAGGGTTGCAGTTGCCGAGCTGTCGCCAGCAAGGTCCGTGCCTGGATGCGTAAGGTTGAAATTTCCATGCCTCCAACGATGGAGTGGGCGTCACATGGCTAGAGCTGTTTGTCTCGTTTTGCTTTGACCAAACAGTTTTTGTAGTTTTTTTTAATGACAAAAAAGAGAATAAATTCTTGTTCCCCGCCACATGGGATGATGTTGTTCAATACCAGATCCAGCTTGACACCTTTTGTCATAGTTTTGCGCAACTGGTGCCGCAAGTCCAAGCCCTTTCCAAGGCCCCTGTTTGGCCTTCGGTTCCCAACGGCATGGTAAAGAGCCTCCACGTGTCAGGCGCAACGCAATGGAGACATGGATTGCGTCTTCGACGCGGTTTGCCGGCTCAGATGGAGACCTTCATCTGCTCAAGACATGGATGACCAGAGGGTATATCCGAGCCCACTGGAAGTGGGTTCCTGACTGGTTCTTTGAAGCTGCCCAGGGCGTCCAGCAACTTGAGCCACAGCCGTGGCCCGCGCTTGGGAGCTTTCGTTCGCGTGTTCGAGCCTTTTGTGCCATGCAGTAGTGTAGGTCGTCAAGGGGCACAGTGTCTGCTCAACTCGGGTTATTCGTCCACACCTCCCTCCAGCTTGGGACACCAAACCGGAAGCCCGAACCTGTCGCACCTTAGGGAGAGGATGACGAACTCTATGATGACGACGACTGCAGCAACAACCACTACCGCTGCTGCTACTACTACTACTACTCCTACTGCTACTCCCACTACTACTACTCCTACTGCTACTCCCACTACTACTACTACTACCACTACTACTACTACTACCACTACTATTACTACTACTCGTACTCCCACTGCTACTACTACTACTACTACGACTAACCCGACTCCTACTCCTCCTACTCCTCCTGCTGCTGCTGCTGCTACAACTACACGATCTACACTTTCAGCCACTCAGGAACTCAGTCAGTCAGGATCCACACTGCCAGCCACTCAGCCACTCAGGCTGTTCTTCCTGCCAGCCGCTCAGCCACTCAGCCGCTCAGGATCTTGAGTGGCTGTCAGGTAGAAAATCGGTATTTCCACGTACAATCTCATTTGATCTATCATGGGAACATCTTCGTCTTCGACTCACGATTAAGGGGTACTTTCAAGGCTACGTGGGCTTGCACTCCGAAGAGTTGTGAATTGGGGATGGGGCATGAGAACGGCGCGCTCCCAACACTTTTTGGTATCACAGCGTGGTGCAGGATTTCTTTCATCCACGTACTGTGGGTACCTGCTGCAATAGCAATCCACGAAGGTCCTTCAATTGTGACCGCTCAAGGCAGAATCCCACTACCTGTTGACATGCGACTGGCTGGAACAAGAATGTACGCAGCCTGCACACCCAGCTTACGGCAGCTCCACAGCGCGCGCAATCAGCTGACACCAGCGCCGGTGCAGCTGACAACACCGGCAGCGGCGCCAGCACCCGTCCAGCGCCGCCGCCCGTCTTAAACGCGCGCTCAGCCAGCGCCCAGGACCACAACACCAGCACCGACACCCTTTCGAAAGCGCGCGCAGCCAGCTCATTCTTATTTGCAGCAAGAACCCCCTAGCTACCCCTATTTGGGGAATATCAACGCATGATCTTGCGCGTATAAGTCGTATAAGTTCACGCTCAAGCGAAAACTACGTATGATGTTGCGTGCATAAGTTCATGCGGCCCATGACTGCTGGCACTTCATTGTCAGAAGCGGCGCTTGGTCGCCCTTCACAGCTGCAAGCGGCGGTTTGTCACCCTTCACTGTCAGAAGCGGCGGTTGTTATCACTTCACTGTCAGAAGCGGGCGCCAGCACCGAGCTCCAGCACGCCAGCTCATGGCGCCCAGCACCAGCACCCAGCACCACAGCCCGCAGCCAGCGCCCAGCACCAGCACCGGCACCCTGTCTCCACCACGTGCACAGCCAGCTCACAGCACCAGCGCCGGCGCCCGGCACCCAGCACCAGCAACCTGTCTCCACCAAAGCACCAGCACCGGCGCTCCACCACGTGCACCAGCAACCTGTCCACCACGTGCGCAGCCAGCTCACAGCACCAGCAGCACCGGCACCCGGCACCCAGCACCAGCACCGGCACCAGCAACCTGTTTCCACCACGTGCACAGCCAGCTCACAGCACCCAGCACCAGCACCAGCACCGGCACCCAGCACCAGCAACCTGTCTCGAAAGCGCGCACGGGCAACTCATTGTTATTTGAAGTAAGAACCCCATAGCTTCGCTATCTGGGGAATTCAATGACGCAGGAATCATGTGTTGTTTGACTTGAAGCATCATGAGACGATCGCAGTGTTGGCAGTGCCTACCAGTAGATGAGTCTCTCAAACTACGTGGAGTATCCTGTTGAATATGGGGTCTTGCTGGAATGTGTCCCAGCCAATAACAGTGAAGTTTCTTTGGCACTTTAGATTCATAACTTGTTCTTTTGCCAACCCTGAATGAGTGCGATTTTGGGATGGCCCAGTGCATCTTTGGATTCCTGGAGATAGGTTGGGTCGAATGAGGTCGTCTACATCTTCATCTTCGCCTGCAGTAGATGGGTCTCCAGAAAGGACTGGCCAAAGTGCTCGGCCTACATCACAGATTCGCAGACTCTCACAAACTCGTGCGCGAGAAAGAACAAAGGCAACAAAGTCATGTCACTTCACAGTGAAAGTTGCAAAGAATCGGTGGACATTTTTGGATTGTGAAGAGCACTCATTGCACACCAGAAGGAATGGGTGGGGCCCGAAAAAATCCACTGGTTTGGGCTTCCTCCCTTGAATCAAGGTTTTCACGCATTTCAAACCCTCTACCTGCCTCCAAGCACTCTGCACATGGCACTAAGATCACAGTCCTGTCGGGCCAAAACGATGTTTCACCCAGGCTTCTTCCTTTGCAGTGGATTCCATCCAAAGAGTTGTCAACGTGGAAGACCTTCAAGGTCAAACCTGGACTATCCTGGACTGAAGTCATTTTTCTACATCCAAAGTCAGATTCGCTCTGAACAAACTTCACTGTCCTATCCCTATCAAGTACCCAAAACACGATGGTGATGGCTGTCGAAACTTGGATACGTTTCATGCTCTTCACATGGAAAATGGGGACGTTCGGGAATGATTGAGGAGTGTTCCAGGATGGCACCGCGATTCTAAGAATGCTAAAGAGTACCCTCAACAATTCCTGCAGATCTCATGTCCGGTCGAGTCTTTCAATGGATTGGTTCAAGGGAAAGTCTACAGGAAATCATGGTGTTCAAACTATTCAATAACCTATTTTCCTGTACATTTACCCTTAAACCAATTCCAGAAGGCTTCCCAGATACAGTGGTGATCATATCCCAAGTAGTTTACCAACACTACTTCTGGGCTCCAAAGCACGGGTTGCTCGTCCTCTCGCCACGTTCAGCTGCCTGTCGATAAATGCCACCTGCCCCGTTCTTAGATCGGCGCCACTGAACAAACAGCACCTAGGAAAAGTGCTCCCAAGCGATGTTACGTCCGTATACAGACTGAAAGTAGATTTGTGCTAAATATTATCCTTCTAATCCATCATGTTTGAGGAGAACTCTTCCAACCGGTGTCTTGATGTTTGGGAACGCTCAATGGAACAAGTCAACAAACGAAGATACCAGAAACCCTGACGCTAATACAAGCAACAAGAGCTCGGTTTTCCTCGATTTCATCCATCACCCATCGGTGCCCGCTCTGAACAGCTGGGCCCACCTTCGTAGCTGGCCTCAAAGTGATCACAGGAACAGGAACCCCTGTCGCACTTGTTCGACCCGAATTTTCCTCGAGCAGCATGAGTTTTGGAGATTGTGCACATCAGTTTGTTTCCGTGTTCGGGGACTAAGCTCAAGGGATCCCCTTAGGCAGTCCAAAACCCGCCACTTCGCAAAGAGTAATTACGCTTGTCTGTATGTGCTCAAAGATTGGAATGCAAGTGGCTTGTATAAGTACAAACCAAAGTTAACGATTTGTTGCCATCACCAGGTGATACTAAATCAAACCCTCTTTATAAAACTGTTGTTGGATCCCAAGGTTTGTGTCACTTAATCGCTCATGGACTCATGGTGCTTTCACGAAAATGGTACGTCCCCTGGACACATCTGGAGGCTGCCAGCCGCCAGCTGGTGAGTTGCGCAAGACCGACAAGCTGCCAGGGTCAGTGAAGGACTCCAACAAGAGTTAATTACGGTTTGTTGGGCTTCTTTTTGCAATGGCCTCCAACCTAGAAGCGATGGCCTCAACCCTATATAAATAAAAGTAAATGAACAATTAGGATGCCTATGACAAACCGCTCCCTTTCAAGGTCTCACCATCAATCAGCCTTGGAGTCTCAAATGCCTTGCCAAAGGGCACGGAGTGCTTTGAGAAACCGATTCTGCGAGAGGTCCTGGCAGCTCCCAATCCTCTCTGTCCAGAGCCGCCACAAAGCTCTCGGTTGGAATGTCATGGGAATGCAGCTATTAGGAGCCCCTAGTAGCGTCCTTGTTCCATATCGGTTCCACCAAACCCAGGTTGGGTCTTCCACGGTTGCCCGAAAAGACCATCAAATAAGCGATCTCAAGACCTCAGCTGTCCTCCTGCCGGGCACGACTGGCCATGGCCTCAGGTCTCACGGCTCACTTCTTTGTCATGCAAGAATGTGGATTTTTCTGACCCTGAAATCCAAGCATGTGACCGGTAGCAAAAACAGGAATCAGGATGGTAGTTAATCAGAGCTTGGAGGTAATCTACCTTTCACTAGTGAGGGCAGTGTTCGACCCTAGAATCAGATCGGTGGTCCCCGCCTTAAACCCGCCAATCAAATGGAGATAGGGAATGATAGGGAGACATACTTCAACAAAGAAACAAACCTGAAACCAAGTGCTGTGTGACTTGGCTCCGCTTCATTTGCCAAACCATTGGCATCTGGATGCATCTAGCAACAAGGGCATCACTACTAGTTACTACTCTAGTAGCTTCTTGTTACTAGTAGTAAGGCCAGGAGCCCCTAGTAGCGTCCTTGCTCCTAGTAGCGATGCCAGGAGCCCCTAGTAGCGATGCCCTTGTTACTACTGTAGCTAGATGCATCGTACTTGAAGCCTCTCGACTCTCGAAGCCCTCGAAGCCTCGGGGGAACGGATCTGGAAGCCTCGGGTCTTCTCCACTAGGGTTCACCTTTGGGGGCTAGTCTAGATAGTCTCTAGATAGTCTCTAGAGTCTAGAGGTTGATGAGCAGAACCTGAGTCGGGTTTTTGCTTTACCAAACAAATAAAGCAAGAACAGCTGGAGCATGGCGCGACCGCTTCAACTGCCCGCTCCAGTTTCATCCGGACCAAATCCCCTACGGTTGGACAGGTTCACAACCTGCGGGTCAGCATCTCGGCATTCACAATTGGTATCCCTGAAGCCCAAGGGTGTTTCAAATGGTGCAGGATATGCAGGTTTGTGTCCATCAACAGTATCATACCGCCAGTGCTCATGGCAGCTTACGGCCCAATCCTTCCAAACCTCCTGCCTTGAGCAGCACAGGATTGATTGCTTCTCGCCAGGATTAAATGGTGACGTGTTTGTCTATCATGGAAGACCTCTAGAAGGGAAGCTACTGGGTCCGTCTCAAAACGAGATCCCGCAGTTTGACCTCTGGCAAGTTCGCACCAAACGAGCACCCACCATTGCTGGCAGGGTCTTATATTTTTTGTGCCCCTGCAGAATTGTGTGACACTACCATCTTGAGGGTACACTGGATCCCTTTCCATGCAAATTCTTGCGACTTGATCCAGCGAAGCTTTTTGCTTAGGGTCCATAGAGATCTGCTTGGAGTGGAATGGCTTCAAAACGCTTGATACTCTGATGTATGAATTGTCTATGCATACTTTTCGGGCTGAAGCCAAGGATTGGCCAAACGTTAGACACTTTGGACACCTTCTCAAGTGGGTAGTGTTCAAGGAAGAATCCTGATATGCGGAAGCATAGCCCTTCGGACTTAAAACAGCTCTATCAGTTTCCATCTTCGATCGCGGTGGCAAACACGTGCAGGGGGATATTGTCAACTTTCCATGAATATGGCTGAGTAGGTATTGATTGATTGAACCCTGCGCAAATGACCAATTGGTGTGAAACCCCGAAAAGTACACGTGCCATAGCCCAACATAATCTCTGTTTTTCCATTGTAGTTCTTGTTCGTTGTCTTGAGCACCCTCACTGACTTGGGTGCCAAAGGGGCCCCTTGGGTGAACTTCACTAGTGAACCAGGCGATGCAACTCTGTTGGCTCCCGGAACTTTCGAGTTGGCAAACATCAACGTAGCCGGTTAGAGCCGGATTCGGAAACTAATCGGTCGGATTCTGAAACTAGGGTTCTGAAACTGGGGTTCTGAAACTAGGGTTCTGAAACTTGGATTCTGAAACTGGTATTCTGAAACTGGGGTTCTGAAACTAGGATTCTGAAACTGGGGTTCTGAAACTAGGCTTCTGAAACTGGGATTCTGAAACTTGTATTCTGAAACTGGAAAATCAGATTCTGCAACTGGTATTCTGAAACTGGAAAGTCAGATTCTGCAACTTGCCTTCTGAAACTTGCAACTGGTGATCTCCACATCATGCGATAGCGTGTGTGCCTGTGACATCACCTTCGAAGCACATCCAAACCAACGTCATTAGCCCCCCACCCAACCCCCCCACCCCCCAACCCCCCCTTGTCCCCATCGTGTGATCTTGACATCCCTCATCATTCACAAAGTTGCGGAGTCCTAGTGAGGGAGTCCACAATGTTGCGGAATCCTAGTTGCGGAACGCCAGTTGCGGAATCCCAGTTGCAGAATCCTAGTTGCGGAATCCTAGTTGCGGAATATTGACAGTTGCGGAATCCTAGTTTCGGAATCCTAGTTGCGGAATCCTAGTTGCGGAATTCTAGTTGCGGAATCCTGGTTGCGGAATCCCAGTTTCGGAATCCCAGTTGCGGAATCCCAGTTGCGGAATCCGACCAAACAGTTGCGGAATCCTAGTTGCGGAATCCTGCGCAGTTGCGGAACTCGACTTTATCCCAACGTAGCCCGCTTGTTTGGCAACAAAATCTCCGAAATTGCGATCAGGGGCAATGGATAGAGATCGGATAGAGCTTACTGTATCCCTCCAGAAGGAGGCATGGGTGGTTCATGAATTTTTCCCCTAAAGGATGGGGATGGGTGGGGCATTTTATTTTTCCCCATGCACACGGGAAAAACAGGTGACATTCCTTCAATCTTTTTGGATTGGTCAAATTCCTGATTGGTCAACTTAAATCCCACTGTGAAAAACAAAACACTTATTGACACTCCCCGAGCTGGGTTACAAACGCAACTGGAGCGAAGCAAAAAAAGAACCACTAAGGTAAACAGGACTATTTAGGGCAATTCTATGGTCCAAGGCATTTAATTCTGCAACTCAATGTGAAAGCCTCCTCAACTGAGTTTGGATGAGCCCACTTTCGGTGAGCCTCATGATGAAAGGCTGTGGCTCCACCGTGTTCCGGCGCCACCTGAAGCGGACTTTCGTCGCGGGATGTCACGTGGGTCATCAATGTCAGTGGAGGGCGAATCGAGATTGAGTCGTTTGGACAATTTCCCCGAGAAATATTGGCTCTTTACCTGGGGTTGAGGGGTCAAAGCCCGAAAGCTAACAGAATGGTCTACAGGTGCCTTTTGCTTTTGGCCACACTGAAGAAGCTGTGCGTCATATGACTGCCATGAACAAAAACGCACAGAACTCTCCTGGCTGCTGATACTCCTTTAAGCTGACCACTTTTCTGTGGCCAAGAGCAATTAGGGGCACGTGGGAGTTAATGGATGTGGTCCGGGAAACATCGGGAAACTAGTTTCCAGATTTGCCCCACGCCTTTGGTGCGGGTCCTATCGATTCGATGCACGGTCCGAAGCCATTTCTACTGGTTGTGACCATGTGACCAAACAGTTTGGTTGCAGAACAGCGGGCTTGGGCAGTTCGTGGTATAAAAACCATTACTTTGCTTGGGAGAGATGCTCAATGACTTTTAGAGTCGATGGCACAATGCCTCAAACATTTGTTCAATGTGGGCACCATGTCAACCACCAGGTTTTGTGGATTTATTCCAAAGTAATCCACGTAACTCCTCTAGAGTTTGTAGGGTGTCAGACTGGCTTGGAGCGGTATCCAAACACGAGGATAACCCAACTGTGCTGAGTGGTTTTGAAATGGTTGGCCTTCTCTTTTGGGCTTACAGCGCGCTCTCGATCTTGCCGACGTTGGGCACCTACACATTGGCCAAGCTAATGACGTTTCTTTGACTTGCGAGTTTCCTAATTTTTTAATCAGGCGTGAATACATCACCTCTCTGTTGACCCTTCAGGACACCTCCTCAATTCAAAACATCAACAAGGGCATGTGCATCTTCACCTCTCGACTGCCGTGTCATCCCACCATGTCAAACTGCACTCATCCAAGATGCATCGTTCAAATAGACCAAGCACTGAACCATCCTCTGCCCACCACTGGCCTCCCGACTTCCGGTTCAAGGAGAATCAAACATGTAAAATTTGGAGAGTCAAGAAACCGGCATCGCCGGTCTGCGAAGCTCTACAATATCTCGTCATGCTATTCTCGCATGCTCTCCGGCTCTCACCTCGTTCTTGCACGGGGCAGCAGGCGCTTGCCCCCTAAATCCGGCGACGCCGTCATCCGGCGACGCCGTCCGGATGACCTATCAAGCATAGCTTGCTACTTGCTATACGGAGACGCGCACGATGCCGCCGACCCGCACTTCTAGCATCACCAGGCTCATGTGGATTCGTAAAAAAACATCAAAAACTGTAGGAAAATAATAAAAAATGGCCACTGATGAAAAAGTAACTTCCAAACCTCTTAATTAGAAAATTATGCATTGAACATGGATACAAGTTTAGAGGAGAAGTTTTGGTCGAGCATCACTAGCATCAGCAGAGTCTCGGCAGGAAAGATGCAAATTCTTTGGCGCACGACTAGGCAACAAACACTATAAATTACAGTGTTTTTGCAACATGTATGTAGTTTATCAACAACGCTGCTTGTATTCTGGTGATGCCAATGGTGCTCGACACAACTGCTACCTCAAAACTTCCTCTCCTCTTAGCATACCTTCTTCTCTAGAGATAAAGCTTTACAATAGCACTTTTTTGTTATCACGTTCGCTGTGTTTTTGATGTTTCTTTTTGAAGAAAGTGCATACGTCCCGGTGATGTTCAAAAGGTCGGTTTGCGGCCGACATTTCTAGCACCACCTGGGCTTATAGGCTTCTTCCAACATCAGAACTTTGTAGTGGAAAACGCTGAAAAAGATGGTATTTTTTCGCATTTTCTAGCCTAAGCGCAGATAGCTGTAGGCTAGAAAATTGCCACAAGCAATAAAAAAACACTTTTCAGCATTTTTTCCACTACAAAGCCCTGATATTTGAAGAAGCCGTGTGCGCTCTCGTGTGCGTGCGTGTGCGCGACGTGTGCGTTCGTGTGCGTGCGGGTGCATGTGCGGGTGTGTGCATGTGCATACGTGTGTCTGAAGCTGAGGTTGCCTGGCTTTTCCATCAAACCCTGGTGCACAAACCTGTGTGGGAGTGTGCAGGCGTAAGAAGCTGTGCTAATCGTCGCATGTTGCTGTGCAGGGAGCCTCCGGATACGCACATTCCCCCCAAGGGCGTCGCCGGTTGGCGAAGCCTGTCAGTATCTCGTCATGCTATTCTCGCATGCTCTCCGTCTCTCACCTCGTTCTTGCACGGGAATGCGGACACATGTGTCCGGGTTCATCTCTGCAAACTACACATAAACAATCATACACATACATAAATGATAAAAGTGGCCTCAGCCCCTCCACCACTCAAAACCTCTAAGTCCCAACACTTACAGAGCTTCGATGTTCTCTTGCCTCAAAGTTCGCCTTGTCTTGGGGGCTCCACTTGTCATTAGGCAGCTCCTGGTTTGAGGACTACGCGGCCATAGGATTGATTATTCCGATCCTAAATAGAACCGGAAAATGCCAGTTTATCTGAAGTCGGATGAGGTCCACAACTTCTTTTAAACTACCAATCCGCTGGGGAATGTGGGGGAACAAACAACAAATCGACAGAGTACGGAGGGTTGTGAACCCCAAACCATTGGTTTCACACACCAGTTCCAGCGTGGAGGATTTCAGCCACAAACATGATCTGAAGTAACATGCAGCATCTTTTTGGATCCTCGGGTCCGTAGCCCTGGAACAAGGACGCTACTAAAGGGCATCGCTACTAGGAGCAAGGGACGCTACTAGGGGCTCCTGGCCTTACTACTAATAACAAGAAGCTATTAGAAACAAGCATATTAATTCAATTTATTTAAAATTCAATCATTTGGATCCTCGGGTCCGTAAGATGCAAGTAATTTGTTTTTCACTCCACTTGGCCTGTGGCCTTCGCCTGTTGGAGCCAGCCCAAAACGAAAAAAACAAGCCGCTATCGACCACTCTGTACAAAGGTGGTCTGGTCAGCCTCAATTGAGTTTGCCAATCAATGTTGAACATTGGCAACTTCAGCTCCACAGTCTCTACACGTGCAGAACAAACCAACGGACCAACGGACCCAACCCCTTCACAGGGTGGCCCCCAACTCTGAGGCCCAAACTCCAAGTATTCAAAGGCAACGAGGCGGTTTTGACAAAGGACTTTCGAGAGCGGAAAGTCAGTCTCAGAAGAATCTGTCCAAATCGCCCAGAAGCAGATTTGTTCCCGTCCTTGGAGTCAACGTGCAGGCTCTGGCCATCGCCTTGCCTGGTGGTGAACAAAGAGCAATCCGCTGGAAGAGATCCAGGGCAATAGGATAGAAATTTATAGAATTCAATCCCGCGTTTCAAACCTGTGTCTGATTAATCGACAGTTTCACTCTCTGACTTGTACGATGCTGGGCTTATGGATAAAGTTGATCCGATGATTTGCCCATCTTCCTGCAGTTGTGGCTTTGTGGCTTGACATAGAAACCCCCTCCGATGAGACATCAGGGCCGTTGCCGCCGTGGCAAGAAGGAGGCTCCATACTCTGTGACTCAAAAGAAACCAGGAGAGCTGGGTGGCCCAAACTCGAGCTGAAATTCTCTCTGTCTTGGTTTCCCATTCACCAACAAATGCCTGTCTCAAAGCCCCGAAACTCTTCTCCGCGGGATTCTGGGTTCGTCCATCGACAGTCTTCTTTCACAGTTGGCAACGGTGGCCGACTTCCAAGCAAATGGCTATATGCTCAATACTGAGCAACACATTTTACCATCCTCGCCGAGAAACTCCTCAACAGGCAAGTGAAATCTCTCCAGTTGAAGTAAAATCCTAGCAACCTAAGCCATTTTCCAGGCCTGTAGCAAGTGAGAAAGGGCGGCTCTAAGAACTGCCTGCAGCTCGCGAGCAGACGACATTTAGTGCAGTTGGCTGCTGGAGTTTTTTGTTCGGACGGCTAGACGTGGGTATGAGTCATGGCATGACTGGCGTGACACCCTTCAGGTTGGTGAACAGGTTGAATAGTCAACACCTTGAACATGTTCTATTAGTTACGAGTCATTACAAGTGTTTTCTGAGACAAACAGTTTTCTGGATGGGAGTCTGCTAACCACAATGTTGAGTGTCAGCTGCACACTGGCGTCGTTTTTGGTGAGTAGGTCATTCAAACTTCCCGAACGTCAGCGACCCATCGACGCCCATGCAAATAAGTTTTTAGTGACTCGAGGGGGAGCAGGAATCAAGAATCATTCACAACTTCCAAACCACTTGTGCTGCTGACAACGATGCCAATTCACAAATCTGCAAATGGCTGTGGGTGGCCCTGGCACCAAAATAGAAACGAGTTTCATGCTCACACTCCCAACTGGCCCGGTGAAACCCACACACACACACAACTCTTTCTTTCGGAAACGTGGAAACCGTTTGCCTGGTCAAGCTAGGCTTTCTCTCTAACCAAGTTTCAAGCCCCAAATGCCGGCTTGTGCTTCTGCAAAAGAACAAACTCATGGTAGAAGTTGAGCCTGCTGAGAAAGTCTTGCACTGACATACCTTGCCAATCAAATCCAATCACCATCTAAAAGTACATTCCTGAAATATAGCCAAACTGCATCAAACTGCTACGACTGCTGGGAGTTCAAGTCTTTAAGCAACTTGTCGATGTCATCCTGCCGCTTGCCCCATAGCGGTCAGTCGACCTGTCTGGCACGGCACAAAGTGCCTGGGCACGGTCCAGCAGCCGAGCCCGGGCTCCTCACTGAACGGCTACGAACAGCGTTGGGAGCGGTGAACGTAACGGCCAACAAAGGGCCTGTGGGGCACAAAAACAATGTGCAAGCAGGCGTTGCTTTTCCAGTGCCATATTTGAACTCGTGTTCAGAAGAAAACGTATCAGTTCTAGCTCTAGCTCAGCCAGTCCGCATGTGACGGGTCCTTCCGTCTCAGTCTCACCGGGCAACAAGGGTCCCAGTTGCCACTTCAAGCCGCGAAACCTCGCATCTCACAGCTCCAAGACTGCATACGCGACATCACGACAGGGGTGCGCTTGGTTTCAACATGGGTGAAAGGTGATCGACACATAAAGGAGTTTGTCCGCAGAAAGAGGGGGTCTGATACGATCCCAAGCTTCGACGCGTCTGAAAATGAAAAGTCGAAGGGATCAAATCCCAAGTGGTTTGTCTGTACAGGGTTTTGTCATGTTTTGTCCAGAAACTGCGCACTCCGACTGTAGCACGATTTGTTTATGGAAGAAACGCGCCAATCTAATTTCTCGTCAACGTGACTGCTCTCCAGACTGTAGCTGGCCTACTGAAACGATTGAAACGTCCTAGACACCTATCTTGCTGCACAATTTTCTTCTGGCCAGGCCAGCATTAATTTTGAGCTGTTTGTAGAGTGTTCAATATTTGGTGCAGCCAGATTCTCTCGAAACATATTCCACCGCCGATTCGACATCAGGATGGCCGAAGGGATGGTGCAGACATGTGAGAACAGTGGTCAAGAAAGGATGTCAACTCCGATCCTGCAGCAAATCTTCGGTGCTATACAAAAGCCTTCCGATACTACACGAGCAAAAGTCTTGAGGCAAGGACCTTGGTTGATGTATGTAACAACCTGGTAAGTCAAGAAAGTAGATGAGTGCACCATAGTGCACGGAATGCTTTCGTTGGACACTCCACATGTCCTTGCTGACCTCTAGGACCTATCAACCTCCCGGCAGATCACCTGCAGCCAATTTGAAAAACGAGAATGATTCCCAAGCCCAATCGACCCAACTCGTCGGGTGTTTGACTCACTTCCGGATGTTGCGCTGCCCCCGGCTCACGGTGTGCACAGCTGCGCAGCGGTCATATCGCTGTCGCATTGCGCCTCGCGCCACCACGGCCGTTGGCCGAGGCAACATCCGTAACGTACCAACCTTGACAGGATCTGTGCAGCGACCGTCAATGATGAAGGTGGGTTGAGCTGGTCAATCTTTGGGAGAAATGGATCCGCTAAAAAGGGGCCGTGGTCTTTGAGGCCACTTGTGACAGCTTCTGTTCATGTGTGTTCATGATAAGAATTCCCTTGAAAGGAGTAGACTTGAAGTGCACAAACCACAAAACCAAACAAAACCAAACACCATCAGTCCCCTGGTCTAAGAATTGGGCTAACTTGTGCAGTCCACAGATTCTTTATCAGCTGGCTTGCTTAGCTTGTCACTTGCAGCCCTGACGTGCTCAAGCCTGCCCCACCCACCGTGACATTGAACAGGTCGCCATCCCTTTCAATCCCGCAGGATCTTTCCAAATCATCAGTCATCTCTTCCCAAGTGCATTTCGCCATGAGATCTCGCCAAGCCACGCACCAACTCCCGCAAGAGGATCGTGCTCAAGAGCCCCGCCACTCAGTGCGCCGTCCAGTCCAAATCCGATCGGTAACATGAGGGTTCTACGGGAACAGTAAGCTCTGAAGCTCTGCTTGTTTCTCAAAGCATGGTTCAGAAGCCAACGAACAGCTGTGGCCCTGAAGCAGCCTTCTCCCCTCTTGATCTAAGTCCTTCATTCCTCTGGTGACGGCGTATTAATAAGCACATGAACCGAGCTCCCATTGCATACCACGGGTAGTTGGTATTCAAACAAAAATGTCATTGAAGACAAGTATCGAGGAACACATATCATCACTACACAGATGGTTGCGAGGGAATCACCAACCTTCCATTGGTATGATGACTATTTTTAACCGTTTGTTCATTGATCAGCAGCTAAAGTTATACATTCGAGTGGCGCGCTTGAACAGCAGTGCCAAAACGCCAGCATTTCGTTGGCTAGTGGCGCTAGTGAGGTCGGTATGGTCTTCTGCTTGTTCTGAATTACCCCTCGGCGACTCTAGCTTTTGTGTTGAGAAACATGACCACAAGCTAAGGGCTGATACATTCTCTGTAATAAGTAGAGTGGGTCATGTACATGAGCAGTCCAGCATTCTTGGCCCATTCCAGGTCACAATCACATTCATGCTGTCTGAATGAAGACCTTCACGAAGCTACAGCAAGCCGCCAAGCCCTGTTAGTAATCGTTTCGACATGTTTTCCAACCAGGTTTCCTAACACTTTTTCTTTCACCGCTGGACTTCTCATGTTGTGCTCTGCCAGGAGGCCAAAAGCGCCACAGGTCCAGAACAGATCCCCATCGTGAAAGACGTAAGCACCTGATCGATCACGTTTCTACAATCATGAGACGTGTGATATTTGTTCAACCCAATCTTCATTTCTAATTTTAGACATGGATGAACATGGCAAGTTTAGTTTACTGATGAAAAAATGCCGGAGTTCACATGATGTCTCACATGTCGTGCCACAAACAAATAGATATGCTTAAAATATCTTTCTCCAATAAGATCTTGCTCCGCTTTCTCTTGGTGTCGGATGGGTGGTGTCGGGTTCTACTGAAGTTCCACCTCAAAGGATCGCCTCGCACTGAGTGCATACCGGATTCGGTCTATTCGGTCTTCGTTTGTTTGCAGAAGTTGGCGGCTTGGTTTGATGATGGTGTTCCTGCCAATAGCCCAACAGCGCAGGACCTGTGTCAAATCAGTCCACTCCTCCCGATGGCTCGTTTGATCTAGTTTGATCTCGTTTGCCCCGTGCCTGAGGCTAAGAGGGGAGAGACGAAGGCGACGGGCTGAGTCTTCTTTTCGTCGAAGAGGACCTGGGAGAGTTTCACCAGCGAAGCGGATAGTGTGGTTTGACCGAGGACGGACCTTGGATGCAACAGAGTCAACAGTGGCCTGAGGGAACAATCTTCCTCAGTTCGGGGCATTCCCGGGAGTTCCAAGCCACAGTCAGCGCAAGGGATTCTAAGGGACCATCGACATAAAGGAACCATCCAGTTTCACTCATTTCGGATGACATGATGGTTCATGGTTCGAGTTGGTTTCCTCATTCCGCTTGACCTGGAGGACTCCTCCCACAAGCTGATCGGGGAATGCCCAGCTGCTCGGCTCTTGGTGTAGACCTTCTCGGGTCGCAGGCCACTACGGCCTGGCGGAGTTTCGCCACCTGGAACAGCCTGGAGCCCTTGAAATCCTCAGCAATTCCTCATCTAGAGGCTGCCCTTATAGGAGTTCCTGCTTTGTTGGTCCTTCTTTCAACAATTAGGAACATTCTCCGCACAAAAGTTGTGGTAAGTCCGCGCCCCAATTGGTATTTTGACACACCCAAAAATGACGCAACACAAACCTTCAAAACCGATGTGAGTCCGAATCAGAGGGCACCTTGTAGTTCATGTCCAAGCGTAATAAGTTTCAAGTCTTCAATAAGTTGCTTCGTTGGTTTCATGCTTCATGGACTCTTGGTAGCAGGAATCGCTTCAGGGCCGGAAGATCTTCTGACCGGCTATTTTCCGTTGCTGTGGACATTCTCTTTTCATTTCTGTTCAATGCGGTTGAGTTTGTGGAGCACCGTTGGACCTCTCTTCCATAGTGGCATTGAAAGTGGATATAGAATGACGCCGGAGATCCCCGGCACTATCCCCAGCATATCTGTGCCGGTGCAGGAAGTCGTCCATCAACAGCAGCTCCTTTCATCACCACCGATCCCAAACCTCCCTGTTGTTGCATGCCATGAGCCGGCATGAGGTCCCACCATCTCCACAGCTTTCGAGTATGTTGCACCTAGGTATCGCACTTACTATCCTTCATTATCCTTCACTCAAGCCATGAGCAAGTTGGGTTGCTCCCTGTCGCTTTCCGCGCTCTTAGAGAAGCCGTGACTAGTTTAGTCATCAGAATGTTTGTCGATCACTCAATGTCATATCTCACATTTTGTGTTGGTGATCCAAGGTAAGTTCCAATCTCACAGTAAAAGAAAAATGAAAAACGGCTAGATAAACCCATTAAACAAAGTGGGCGGCTTCTTCGCGAAAACCACCTGCACTTGTTCAGAGCGGACATCCTCTGGCCCGGGTCTTTCAAGCTCCACCTTCTTCAATCAGCTGTTGGCAGTCCTGGATGGGAATGGTCCATGTTCAGCCCGTGTCCAAATACAATTCAAAGCATAAACATCCGGACATATCTGGACTCTCTGGGAACACTTGGAGGCGTTCAAAATGTTCAAAGATCCTTCCGTAACTAACATCGTCACTGAGCTCGCGTCTTTTTCTCCAAAATTCTCCAAAAGCAAATCTGAAACTTAGTGGAAGGGGGTTTGGGCTTGTAGAGCTCTGTTGAATTTGGCATGATGGTGGCTTCATTCTTGATGTTCGCAGTTCAATTTGAGGACGCAGGATACTTGCATGAGAATTGGGAAGACCCGTTGTCTGTGGCACAGTGGACATTCTGACATTTTCCCTAGAGTGGCACTTTGCAAGTGGATGGACACCTAGTAGTGTGACATTCCCAAGCCGGTGACTCCCAAGTACGGCCTCAGTCGTTTTTATCGTTTTTGTTCAACTTAGTGCGTGGAACCTCCTCATCCGCAAGTACATCTGCTGTCTACGTTGCTTTTCATGTTGGAACTCAAAGAAGATTTGCATTGTTCCGGCCAGAAATGGACAAACTCTGAATGTTCGGATACATTTGGATTCCTGTTGGATACGTTTTTTTATTCCTCCACTTCGTTGACTTCGTTCCGTGACGATCAGTCTGGTTTGGCACATTCTTTCCGACGGCACCGGTCCTCTTTGCTAAGGAAGCCACGGAGACGCCAAACCTGAATCGACCAGTGAAAGCAGCACAAGTCTAAGTGAAATTGAGCACCCTTCTGGGAGTTTCAGCATCCATAGATCCCAAGGCAAATTGTTGCAGTCATAGATCTGCCGCAGGCATAGATATGCATGGAAGGTTCGCACATATCTATCTATATATATCATATGTAGATAGCTCATTGTGAGAGAACTACTCTTGATCAAAAGCATGTCCGATAGAAGGGATTCGTGTGCAAATCTGAAATCGTGTAGCAAAGTCTATGGAATTAAGCTCAACAATCCTGAGGAGACATCAAGTCAACTGGATACCGAAGCTGCGACGAAAGCTGCAGAAGTTTGCCACTCATGCGTGTTGCGTTCATCTACCAGATTGATTGTTGCAGGATTTCTATCAATGCTCCTGTACACAAAATAGCTTCATCATTTGTTTACAGCATCATACAACTATGCCTTTACCCAAGCCTTCTGTGTCACAACTACTACATCTAAGCTGCTCCAATTTCTGCCCAAAGGCCGGAGGCTCTACATGAAGCTGCTCCACATGGACTTCCGACAGCGCCTGACAGAGATTGGATTTGCAAGTCGGTCGGCGACAGGACAGCAAAACTTTGCTTGTTTGTTTGGAGACCACACATTCTGAGTGTGTAAAGAAATCAAGCAATGCATCCGAAATCCTGCAGTGAAAACCGTTTCTGCATTGATCCTGAAACCTACAGTAAAAAGCCTATGTTGGCGGCCATCGCTTTTAGGTTGGAGGCCATTGCTCTTCGGTTGTTCGGTTTATTGTATTCTTGTAACTAACTCTGAAGTCTGCGCATTGGCGCCTCAAAGTGCAGCTGGGGATATCGGCCTATGCCAATCGTCACGCTGAGGAGATCAATGCACACAAATTTGCTAAGATCTATGCTGCGTGCTTGCGTGCCTTATGCAAAACACAAAAAACTTGTATTCCTTTAGGTTTTGCAAATCTTTAGGATGCAGTATTTTTGCAGTTGAATCTTTTGTCAACTCCGGCTTTGACACCTACTCAACGGCACAATATATATATATAAGCCATGCAACAACGGCACACCTGGATGCTCGTTTTCGAGATCCTTGACTGTGTACCTTCCAACATATCCTTGATGGTCGTTCTCCTGCACCACTATGAGAATGCCAATGCAGCATCAAACTGGGAATACTAAGTTTAAACTATCCATGGCAACTCATCAACAAATCGTCGGGCAAAGTTCTCTTGGCACCTGGGTCGAAGGCGGCTGCCTCAAACATTTGGCTGCTTGTCTTTGGAACAAGAGACCTTTTCTGTGGAAAACATCATTCCAACAGAATGGGCATTTTGAAGCGTGACACTGTAAATCTTCCATAGAGAACTCATGAATCATTGACGCTAACAGCTAACAGCCAACCGCAAAGTGCAGGTGGTTGGCACCTGCAGCAGGAGGTTCAGCCTGATGCGGGGGCGACAGGCGCAAATGATCTTGGCAGATCGACACGGGAGGAAGATTTCAACCATCGGCGCTACAACAAGCGGATCCTTAAGGCGATCTTTGTTTGCGATAGCAGTTCCATATTGTGGCAACGTCCACCTTTCCATCGACGATATTTGAACATGATGAACGTCAACCTTCGTTCCCGACGAGAGTTGCACTTATGAAAAACGATGAATCCGCGATGTCAGACTTTGGTGGTTTCCGCTTCTTGTCTAGCAACCGCATACGCCCACTTACTGTAGTTGATCTATTCGATTTCGGGGCTTTAATGAAAACGAGTAGCATGGCTATTGGGAGACGCAAATCTGATGAACGAATCGTTCTCTGCCATCCAGTGAGCCTTTGGTCTTCCAGCTGACATCCCAAAGAACTGGCCCCTTGAGAGCCATGTCTGCGCCCTTCTAAATTCTATGGCGACCTTGAAAGAACGTTTTCTCAAAATGTGTATTGGATGTCGCTTTTATCTCATTGACCTATTGGAGATCTGTATGTTGGGTTCTAGACCATCTGGGAGCACACAACGTTTCGAACAACTCCTTGATAATTTTCTCCGGAATCCGATCCCTTTTGCACCGGAGGAAGGACACGAAGAAGACTTTCTTCGATCTTGTCCCCAAAAGGGTCTTCACTTCTTTTTGTGGATCCGGCGTTTCATGGAGGGTCGAGCCTCTGAGAACGGACTGAGACCCTGAAGCTCAGGCCTTAGAAGCTCCAAGACCACCATGGCCAAGCGAGGGGCGCTGTGCACAGACCCTCCGACCCGACCCCTGCGTCGAGTAGAATATTTGTTCGTCCTTCGTCTTTTTGACACCGTGAGGCCCTTGTGGCCCCTCTTGGTGCTTTTTGGTCCGAATTCATGACGTTTCCACACGTTTTCTGGGCTCTGGGGTGTGTGAAATACTCCTGCTGCTGAACGATTCTTTTTGCTGACAAAGTCGTGGAGTCAATTCCTCACACACACACACATGCACACACGACAGAACCCCAAGATGGACATCCAACCTAGATTTGGGCCAGCAAGGCTCGGTGGGAGAGATCGACGGTAACTTCGATAAAGGACTCCTGTCCTGAAATACCTTCAATCCAAACAAAGCATCACTTAATCTATTTCACTCTGATTCACTCTATGTTCTGAGACTTCAGGGGTACACAAACACATGCAGCCAATCAACCATTAAAAAAACACATCGTCTACGAAATGATCCCATTGGATCCCATCGGCTCATTGTGCTCGACCCTGCATCGTCCCAACTCTAGACTTTGGCATAGGGGCAGTCGGTAAACACAATCCGTACAGCTCAGTAGAACTTTGATTGAACACCACAACTCACAACCTGCTTACTCTTGTTTATCTGGAGATGGGTTCGTCTCACAATCCAAAACCAGTCAAAAAACCAAGCAAATGAAACTACTGTACTGGATAGAAGGATGCCTCATGTCACATAAGCCCATACTCAACAAGTTAAACAAGTCAAGGGGTTGAGTTTCTAAAAAATCAACAGCACGATCCCAATACTGATTAAACATCATGGTATACGATGGTCATGGACACTAGAAACCTGTGAAGGGCTGTGTACATAGATGACATGTCTTTGCAAGTGTCCCTCTGTCTTGTCGAAAGTAGAAAGGCCCTTCTTGGTTGCTGCACCACAAGAAACACCTGCATTTTGGTTCTGTCCACAGTAACAACTCCAAGTACACCTTGTGGGACCTGTATGGAATTCCTCAAACACTCGGATTTCCCGCTCGTTTCGGTTCCGCAGGGGACAGATACAGCATCAGCTATACCGAAAGGCCACCGGAAAAGAAACGTGCATTCATTTACAGTGAGTACAGTAAACTGATGTTACATGCGGCACGTTTTACCACAACAAACTTATACTTTCAAACACATGCCCAATGAATAGTGAGAAGCAGGACTATCACCCGATATTCATCGTCCCATGCAAATTTTCCCCACAAAACATATACCTTCAATCTTCGCATCCTGAACGACTTTCGACCTTCGCGCGAACTCTGGACTTCCTTTTCCACTATTTGGCCACGAGTTCATTGATCAAGGCAGCCCAGAAAGGGATGACCTCTTGAGAGGCTTTGTGGGTCCTTGGCTCGAGCCAGCTGCGTTGAAGTTGCGGTGGATCCGCAAGCTGATGAGAAGTGGAGACAGAGTGAAGCGAACAGTCAATCTGACTGTAGAATCTAGAATATTCTCCCAACATTGGGTTGATGTTTGTTTTGCGCATCTTTTTTGGTAGGGTTTCCATGTGGTGTCACAAGGGTATCTGGTGGTTTTGGCTCAATTTTAGGGAGAAACTTCGGGTTGCGGGATCGTTTTACTCGGTTGGCTTGCGCTGTTGCAGAAGCCGGGATGCTTTTCTTTTTTTTGGAGGGGGGCTCGGGAGTAAACAAGGTTCAAGCATGTTCAAGCCACCTAAGAGCCCCCACTGCACACGCGCACATTCCCCACATCGACCTGTGCACCGGGCACCAAATTGCTCCTAGTAGTAAGGCCAGGAGTCCCTAGTAGCTTCTTTGCTCCTAGTAGCGATGCCAGGCGCCCCCAGTAGCTTCTTTGCTCCTAGTAGCGATGCCAGGAGCCCCTTGTAGCTTCTTTGCTCCTAGTAGCGATGCCAGGAGCCCCTAGTAGCTTCTTTGCTCCTAGTAGTAAGGCCAGGAGCCCCTAGTAGCTTCTTGTTCCTAGTTGTTTCCTAGTTTCCTAAATTATGGAAGTGCTCTGATGTGCCGAAGCTGGCGCTTTTGTCCATTACAGCTAGAGTTCGCTCAGGCAACGTACCTACGCAGACGATGGTTCGCGGAAGTCAGGAAACACATCGCTTTTGTTGGGTATCCAACTGTGTGTCTCTGCCTCGAGATGGGCCGATTCCAGCAGCAGCGCTGTCAAGCGCTCAGATTGCGTCAGGCTCTTAGATGAGGCACATTGTATTTCTCGCAAAACACATGACGAGAAGAAGAGGAGGAAGAAGAAGAAGAAGAAGAAGACGCACTGCCTGACATGCAACACAAGAATCTGTCCAGAGCTTGCTAGATGGAGCGTTGGCCTAGGATGGTTGTGCCACGCAGGAAAGAAAGATACGCCAAGAGCAGGAGAAGAGACAGTTTCAAGCGCTGAGTTCACAGCTGGAACGACAGACTGCCGAAGGCATTCCGTGACAGTGACATGGACCAGTGTGTGAGCTGAGCGGTAGGTTTCCAATGTCTTCAGCCACATCCACTCGGGTCATCCGCAGGAAAGTCAGACATCCAAAAACATGTCACGTCACAGTACCAAGTTCGTAAGAAAGTACAGGAACAGCGCAACGCTGAGTTCACCGCAACGGAGCTCGGAGAACGAGCTGAGGTGGTCCAGGTCAACGTTTGGTCACTAGAAGGCAAGGCAACAGCCCCTGGAAGTCGTTTGTCTGCTCTGTGATTGTGTGTCTGAGATATGGCACATGGCAGATGCGGCAGGAGTGTTGCGTAGCATGGACAAGTGTTGCCAGCCGAGTGCCGGGGTTCCAACATCTTTGACAACAGCCACCTGGAAAATCCCATGCAAGAATGTCATTGAAAGAAACGTTGCGCGGTCTCTGCTTCGTTAGAAAAAGCTGGCCGTAATGGGTCTTCATGTTACCCAGTGGAACTCTCTCAACGTCACACTCTCACCTATGGCTGCTTGGTCTTCTCACGCCATCATAGGCCAATGTTTGGCCCCAGTGTAGAGATAACAGGCTTTGCTCACAACAAGGACAAAAATGTAGGCAGCTGGGTGGGATCAACATCTGGAGGAGCCTGGCAGGTTTTCAACGGCACTAACGGCGCAGGGTGGATGCGCATGCATGAAGCAACTGCAAAGGCATGGGCTTGCAGTGAGGACAAAGAAATAAAGCTTTGAACATCGGTGTAGGAAATATTTTGGAGGACGACTGTGGGTCTTTGCCGGACAAAACGAGACTGGACACTTCCTAGGCCAACTTTCTGGAGAAGGTTGCGCAATGCAGCATTGGCTTCGGGAAGATGCTGCGGTCACCAACTTTGGGATCCTCCGTCTGCTTGATGTTGTCCTTTTGCAGCTACATGATCTGGCAGCTCCCAAAGCATGGTTGGGATAGGAAGAGGTTTTGGAAAGGTTCTGGCAGAATTGCTAGAGTAGCCTGTGACTTTGACATTCTACGACACATCGGCACATCAATGCCACCAAACACCTGTTCTTTCGCATGCCCAAGCCCAAGCAGCTCTCAAACAAGACCCTCTAAGCCAGAGTGAACATGCAACGAACATGCAGGCGATGCTGATGCCTTTCCAATCTACCAAAGCGCTCAAGCTTTGAAGCTTCGACCTTGACATCCGAGCATCTCCTCTGTCATCTTCTCTGAGATGCTCTGGAAGTCAACATCTGTCATCTTCAACAGAAGCTGAGGTATGGAGGTGAAGCTCTGGACGCCCGGCATCTCCAGAAAGGCATAACCTCGCGCACTCATCGATGGCCAGCCGTCAGTACAGTGTCCCAGTCCATGCATTTTCAATGATATATGTGAGGAGTATATCCCGTACATGTGAGACCGTGGGATACAAATGATGACAGTTTTTTGGGATCCTAGATTTGACAGCGACCAGCGGTTGCCACACCAAGCAAACTCCAGCAGTTCTGTCAGGGCTCGACGTGCCCAATACAGCATGGTTTGGAAGTCATCTTCTAAGGAATCCTCAGATTGGGTCAAAACGCACAGGACAAATCACACTGAACATCGCGCCCAACCACGTGAGGCATTTTGTGTGCCATGGCTGGGCCCCGGTGATCTTGGCGAACTGGGATTGCCAAGTTGCCAACGAAGGATATGGAGTCGGGTGCCTCGGTACCATGTCGGTTGTTTGATACCATGACCATCCAATCACTGTCAGCTGATACTATCGGTGTCCCCTTGATATCCCCGGCATGCGCAATAGGTTTACTTGCAATGCATCCACTTTTGAAAGAACTCATCCTTCGGAAGTAAAACACGTGCTCACGCGCGGTATGCAAGAAGAAATGGCTGTGTGCGACGTTATGGTATGCTGATGATGGAAAAACTCCTGCGCCTCCTGGAATGCCGAAACACCGTACATATGCATATATACAGTGTCTTTTGTTTCCTCTCTTCTGGTGTAGGGTTTTCTTTCTACTAACTTACTAACAGATTCATTCTTTTGAACTGATCCAACTTCCAAACCATCCAGGCCACTCGTTGTTTGGTCGAAACCGTTGATGCAAATTGGGATGGCTCCTGGAGACAGCTCTCGGGTGCTCGGTCAGCATTTGCAAGTAGACCTCCCGGTGACTAAGCGGGCTCGGTCTAGAATGGTCTAGGTGAACTGAATAACACCCATATAAGTTCACATGTTCACATATATGTGCATGCATATACTGTCTGTACTATCTAATCAGATTAGATTACACAATGAGACACCAAGTTTCTGCACAGCTGAGATATGCTGTCTAAACCGCTTGCTCCACACGGTCCTACCATAGCTCGTCATCTGCTTTGGCCAGAGTCTAGCCAGCCACAGGGCGTCGGGCACGAAGAGGGGCATGTTCATAGCCTAGGATGGGCCCATGGTCAAGCGTCTCAGACTTGAAGCCCAGTTTCCCTAAAGATCTAAGAACCACATGAAATTGCGAGCGTGAGCTTTCCTGTCCATACGTAGCAGCTACCTATTGCTAAGGGAGGGAGGGAGAGAGAGAGAGAGAGAGAGTGAGTGAGTGAGTGACTGTGACTGTGACTGTGACTGTGAGCGAGTGTGCGTGTGGGTGAGTGAGTGGGTGCGTGCATGAGTGAGTTGATGCGAAGAAGTTGATGTGAGGGAGTTGTTGTTCACACTGCCAAACCGTTCCGCTCACCAGCGACACGCCGTGTTTACACACGTATGTTTCCCGTTGGCCAATGGCAGGAAGCCACGCAAACACACTTTCCACCAAGGCAGCACCAAGCCGCATAGCATAGCAACATCACAAACGTAATTTTGCCGCACGGACAACGCAAGGGCAAGAGGCCGGCCATCACCCGGCGACTTCGGTGTGTCAGACCCTCCCATCCCCTTAAGAGCGAGTGAGTGAGTACGAGTGAGCAGGCGGACGACCGGAGGGGCTGCTGATAAAAGTAAGAACCCAGGGAAAAAAGAACATGAAAAAGCAAGATCCAAACTGCATTCAGCTCTTTCAGCACCGAAGCATAAAGCTCGTAGAAGGTCGTGACGGCAATGTTCCATGGGATCAACACAGTCGCACGAAAATGCGAGACCTGACAGCCGAGGACAAGGCGATTCGTTTGGTTGAATCCAACCATCAAAGAGCTTCGGTTCTTTTTCTCAAAGAATGGTGTAGAGCTGCCAGTTTGTCTCGTTCGGAGCTCGTTCATTTCTCCATCTCCTTTCGATGAGATTTGGCCTGTTGAAATCGGAAACGCATGTTGTGTAATCGCGGGTGTTTTCAAGAAGGGATGACTAGCAAGTCCGCAGTCGCAGCCGATTGCTGGTTGAACCTCAAACAAGACCTACAAACCCAAACAAACAGCTTAAGCTGCTTGGAAATCTTACAGCATCTACACCTGCATAGCTGCCAAAATGACAATATAAGCGACTTCAAGTTGCCATGGGTAGTTTAGTTTTATACATAGATACATTGAGATTGTCCAATTCTCTTCAATTGTGAAAGCAATGGATCCAACCTACTGTAAATTAGTATAAATAACTTTCAGCGCTAAGCAAACACAAGAATGAATTGACGTAAAACGGTAAAACGTTAAGGACAGTAAACACATGTAAACACCCGGATGCTACCGAAAGCTTCCTGTCCAGTCCTTCCAGCATCCTCCAGAACCGGAGGTAGCGCCTCCTCGAATGTGAAGCCGTGAACCACATCTTGGTCACCCGGTGGCAAGCGCACCTGCAAGGTGCCTGGATGTCATGGGGTTTTAGACAGCACATTCAGCAATTCAAGTTGATGTTTTCGATGGCCTCCAACCTATACATTTTCTGTTTCATCTCAAGAATCCCATGGCCAGAAGAATTACAGCAAGCCTTCCTCTAACTTTGTCGACGTCTGATACTCCGCGCTTGCTAGAACAATTTCCGACAGCAGCCCTCATCCAAACCAACTGGTCTCAACAAGGAAGTCTCACACTTCCATTTCAATCATTTTATATGGATCTCTAATCTATCTTTAGGAAGACTTGTGCATCGCGAGCTGCTCTACTCTACCTCAAACAATCATGGAAGTGGAGCGTAAGCCGCTGGAAGATCATTTTCCTCTTCAAAGTGGTTCTGCTCAGCTGAGGGAGGGTACGTCCTTTTTTTCAGCGAATCCCACCTGTGAAGCCCACCAACAACCCTATTCTGATGCTCTTTTTCAGGCCCTCCTCGTGGCACCATTCGCTGCCCCTCACGAAACAACCCACGGCAGCTGTGGGACATCATCAGCCGGGTCCTCGCAAGCACCCCAGTGAGATGGAGATGGCTCAGTCAGGAGCTTAACAGCTCTTAGAATGTAGCTGCAAATATTGAATCTGTTTATAGATTAGCAAAGACAGCAAAGAGCAACTAGTGGCGCATGTGCGAAATGCGCAATGCTGTAGCGTCTCACTAGATCGGCTTTCTCGGACCCTTTCTCCATTCTCTCCCTGACGCTCCGGGCACAAAGGACCAGGATGCTGGAGCTGTTCGGCTGGTATTTCACCTCCACATAGCGTGCCAAGGGTCGCACAGAGGGCAACTTCTGCCCGGTGTGGTACTCCAGACTCGCTGCCAAATACGGTGACTGGGCCACCTGTGCGAGACTTGAAATCCGAAAAGGTCTCCAAACGTTTCGAACGAGTATTTTCAGCCTGGTTGACAAGGGACTCGGAAATCGTAATGCTTTACCACCGAGGACAACCTCCTAGGACTGATCATGGGAGCGGACTTACCATGACTTACCTGACACAACTGTAACAAGAAGCTACTAGGGGCTCCTGGCCCCACTACTAGGAGCATTCTTACTACTAGGAACAAGAGTGTATCACTATTCAAGTCGCTTCGCGGCGACAACCGCCAGCACCGTTTGCTTGGAGAGGAGAGGGAGAGAGAGAGAGCAAGGAAAGGTCATTCACATCCAAGCCAACATCCCAGATGATGCGTAACCGAATGAGCAGGACTCTAGATGCCTATTGTATAGTTTTATGGTAAGATGTTTAACCATGTTGTATAGTCCATTGCACTCACTCTATTCTCCGACCCCTTGAAACTTGTACATGTTTCAGGGGGTCCAACTATCCAACAAATTTCAATATTGCCGGCATTTGCTATTTCTCATATACTTAGTTCTGTCATTCACTACATAGTATAACCAGTACTGCTCATCTCCAGAGCTTGGATCGATTATGCATGTTGTATAGTTTGTTGTAAAGTTGTAATAACACTATTCTTCGATCACTTGAAATTGTTCATTTTTCATGTCCAACAATGCCCAGCCATTCTGTTATTTCATATGTGCATCACTTTCCATCCGCTGCATTGCACCATTCATCTTTAGGTCTTATGTCGCTGATGCTTATTGTATATATAACATATATATATATTATGTATGTCTTACCTTATGTCTCATTATTGCACATTCGCACCACCAAATCCCTAAAAAGCCAACAAGCCACTCCTTCCAAAATTTTCACCGAAAGCGTACCACTTCATGTTCTTTGCCCTGCACCCCCAGATCATACGGCACATCACTTCCAAATCTGTTGCAAAACCTTCCATTTTTTGTCTTTGCATGTTTAATTCAACTACCACTACCACTACACCTCATGATGAATATGCATTTCTGTTCCCAAGCTAAGGCTCGTGTTCGCACCCCAGCACCAAAAACACAACGAGGTATGTTCGGTGTCGAATTTGGAATTTGTCGAATGTTTGGGTGCAAATTGTAGCAATTACATGGAGCAAACTCGGAAAGGCATCTACTATTTTATCGATTCCACTTAAACCTTCGTGAACATCTGTTTAGCATTTTAAACTGGAATAAACAGGGGCTTTTGCGAGCTCTTGCATGATCTTGCGTGGATGCCCTCATGTCGCACTGTCGCACTTAAAGGAGAATGACTTAGCATAGGTTGCTGATGCAGAGCTTATCTGACGTCGGACTGAACCAACTGAAGAGGCATGAGCAAGGCAAAAGACAGTTAAGCGCGCTCCGACGATGCAGGCACTAGCTACATTCATCAAGCGAACTAGATTGATTTGTGCTGATATCACTTGATCTAACTGGGCTCCTCACCATCGCAACGGTTCCTGTTTGCAATCCTCCAAACCGGAGCACGTCTTGACTCCGGAGCTCCTCAGAACAAGACGACTAGGTCAGAGCTGGACCACACTCCTCGGTCTGGATGTGGGTCAAACCTGGTCCCACATGGAAAAGCCATTTGTCGCATCATACAAAAAGAAAAAACCATTTCAAACATAAAACACACATTGCACACAAACAGCTGCGCTTCAGCCCTTACCCCTAGAATCCTACGCTGGGAGACCTGGGGCCGTGTGGCCAATCATTTTTCACACCGGCAAGCCTTGTATTTCTTAGTTCTTCAAAAACAAGAGAACAAACCTAGTAGCAATGGCCTCCAACCTAGAAGCTTTTTACAGTATTTATCTATAAACAAAAAGTGGTGTGGTAATTGATCGTCCCACACCTGCCACAAAAATTGGACTTGATAATTTGATTCCATTTTGGGCCTACCCAGAAAGGTTCCCTTCATTAAAGCGGCTTTGACATCTTCCTTTTTTCGCCAAAGTGTGCACCCCAAAGCTGGGGATGAACAATGCACTGTTTTAGGAAACAGAGTAAGCAGCTAAGCTCAGCTAAGCTCAGCTAAGCTCAGCTAGCAGCACAGACATAACAAATCGGTCTTGCTCTGCTCTCCTCGAACTGTTGAATGAGTACGTCGGCACTGTAGTCGTTCATAGCCTGTCAAATCCAGCGACAACCTGTCCGTATAGATGGATGCAATGTGCGAACAGCATCTTGCCCTCCCATCGTTGCATTGAATTCCTGGCCTCATCCTGCATGAAAATGATGGCAGGATAGTAGATCATTGCCACCTGCCACGAAATGCCACGGGCTTCCAATGAAACCCCAAGTTCTACACTTCACCCAATTACAGCTATCACAACATATTAATTAATTAATCTTACAACCTTCATACATTTGCATCTCTTCCTCACGGAGGACGGTGACCGCCACATAAATGTTGTGACAATGTACCTCTTCCTGCTGAAGCTTTAAGGACTGATTATTGTTTCATCTCTAAATCGGATCAAGCCCTCCATGCACTGACACAGGCCACTTGGCACTGCTGTCACTGGGGATGCTTATTGATTCCGTATGATTCTGTGTATGCTTTTCCTTGAGAAACTGTCTCCTATGTCCCTAGGTTTCACGACAGATGGGTTCGCAGGGGTTCATGCAAACTCATGGAATGTATTGCCATCCCTCCAACACCAGCTTGCTAGGGGATTCTATCAGAATGGCCATTTGGATGCTTGGGAGCCCTAGATTTTGATCCGAAACATTTGCTGGCTGATTGTTTTAAATGCTCCGTCAAGTGTATCAGTCCAGTCAGTTCTTGATGGACCATCTGCACAACTCTTCCACGGGACCACGTGAGGGAAATAACTCTGTGGCCATCCACCGAGTTGTGCTCCAAACCTCACCTCCTTGAATTAATTTGAAGCTAGTAGTAACAAGTGCCACGCTACTAGTAACAAGTGCCTTACTAGTAGTAACAAGAAGCTATAGAATTAAATTCTATTTATATAGTGTTTTTCCTAGTGCTTCGCTCCTTCGCTCCCATTTCAGCAAACACGACACACGTGGCTCAGTGATGTTTGATGTTTCATGCCTCAGTGATCTTCCAGAGGAAAAATGCGTCACGAAGCTCCATGCCTTGGGTCTTCGACTTTGTCCGTATATAGAAGATGTGTCGTGAATATTTTTTGAAGCCTATACATCAAATCTCTTTGGGTGGACACTATGGAGCTTAAAGTGTTGGCAACATCAAGGAAAGGAATAGACCAACAGTTTGCCACAGCGGCCCAGCTGTTTTGCGTAGTCGTGACCCTTCCCTGGCACATATCCAAACTCAACACTTAGGGTCAGGAAGGAACAAGAAGCAAACAGGTGTGCCTCGAAATTTGGAAATGATTTCGTGAGAAAAGACACCAATTTATCACCGACCCAACCTCCTGGATCAAATCGCAAACTATAACCACTCCAGAACATGGTTTGCCAAAAACCTGGCTGGGGGCTTAGTTACAAACACATTATTGGTTGGAGGTGTCCTGTGTTCGGTGTCAAAAGCAGCTCCACATTGGCACAGCTCTTTTGCACTGGGAGGAACGTTCTTCTTACGATAAATGAGTTTGCGTTGGTATGATACCCGAACACCAGGATCAGGATAGTTTGCTCCTAGGTTGGAGGCCATCACTATTAGGTTGGAGGCCATCGCTAGTAGGTTGGAGGCCATCGCTACTAGAAACAAAGAAAAAGACATGGAAAAAGGTCTAATATGGTCTGCTTCTAGGAGCAAGGACGCTACTAGGGGATCCTAGCATCGCTACTAGAAACAAGAAGCTACTAGGGGCTCCTGGCCATACTACTAAGAGCAAGGACGCTACTAGGGGCTCCTGGCATCGCTACTAGGAACAAGAAGCTACTA